AGAGAGAGAGAGAGAGAGAGAGAGAGAGAGAGAGAGAGAGAGAGAGAGAGAGAGAGAGAGAGAGAGAGAGAGAGAGAGAGAGAAACAGAGACAGACAGACTGACTGACTGATAGTCAGACTGACATACTGACACTGTCTGACAGACTAGCTTATTTTTTCCTGACTGATTGACTGACTGACCTACCTACCTTTGTGCATGGTTTAATTTGTTGTATCATGGACCTGATTGATGACAGGAGTTGGAATTGCAGATGCGGGAGCTCACACAACAACTCATGGTCAGCAGATCACAGATGCAGGCGAACAGCCAGAAGTTGGTCGAGCTGAAAGCAGAAGTGAATCGGTATCGCACTCGTGCCCAAGAAGCTGCTCACAAGCATGCTGTAGCAGCATTTAGGATTCTCTATCTGGAAGTGAAAATAAGGCGGCAAGATGAACTGATAGCGACCTTCTCTGCCAATGCTAATGCTGGGAAAATAACAGCCCAGTTGGGGGTGGAGGAGGGTTCATTGCGTGTGTTGATGGCAGAGCTCTCTGGCTCGCTTGATGGTGTGGAACGCTTGCAGAAGCTGATCCATGCCCTTGCTCGTGTGATGGATATACAAACGGCAGGGCAAGGATCACATGTACCAACACCAGAGGAAGGGCGGAGAGAGCTGTGGGAGGAAATGACACATTCCCGGAGTATGGGAAGTTTGCAAGGTGAAGGAGACATGGGAGATGAGAGGAGAGATTGGAAAATGAGTGCGAGGGTAGCAGACCTGAGAAGAATGGTGCAAGACTCGATTGCAGCCGTTGTTGCTGTCATTCGGGCAGCTGGTGGAGGCGAGAGCCGGACCTCCAAAACAAGTACTGCTCATCAAGCAAAGCAGGGGTGGTTACGTGGGCGTGTGATGGCAGAATACCTTTTCATGACTGTTGATCCAGATGAGGGGGTGATAAGGTTCCGTCCACCTGCATTCTCTATACCCTTCGTTGAGAGAAAGGACCAAACAAGGAGTTTGTCCAGAGGGGAAGAAGGAAGGAGAACTCAACAGCATTCAAGACTTGAGAATGAAGAGCAAGTCTCTAAGAGGAGACTGTTGGGAGGAGAGGAAGAAGGAGGAGGTGGAGAGAAAGACGGGGTTGAATCAGATGCGGGTAGTAAGAAGGGAGAGGAGGAGAGACGGGACAAAGATATAGGGGTGCATGGTAAGACCTGGGATCAGAAATTTTGGATTGATGAATTAGGATCATTATGCCTCCATGTCGGTGATTCAAATGCTGGACTTCTGGCCTTCTTCGAACCTAGCCGCAAGTCACGGAGTGAAAAGGCCATGCATATGCCACGTGGACGTAGGCGTCCAGGGCATACATCTAGATCTGGATTGATCACTTCCATTGATCTTGAGGGCGAGACAGGCGATGGTCCTTCAATCATCCCAGGATCATCAGCAACTCATCAAGGCCGTAGGTCTAAATCTAGGTCGATCACTTTTGTCGATCTCGAGGGCGAGATGGGCCATAGCTCTTCGGTCACCCATAGCTCTTCCGCCACCCCAGGATCACCTGCAATGTCATCTCGCAGCAATCAATCGCGAAGTGGGCATTCCCGCATTGGAGACATGGTTGCAAAGGCTGCGGGTGGACTTGTCAAAACGCAGGAGACCACTGAGAACCATGAGGACAAGAGAGGTCACCCGACTCGCCGTACCAGTGGAATAGACCATGGAACAAATCCTGTACCTGGATCCACAAGGCCGAATAAATCAGTCGTAAATACCGGCGAAGCTCCTTCCCAGTTCTCTCATCGAAGAGTTCCGCTGATCAAGCGTGATTCAGAGCATTGGGAGGAACTTGTAGAAGGGGGTAAACAATGGCTTGGGATGCGAAAACCAAAGAGACCCCAGTTGGGCCCAAAACGTGTTCAGCTTGTGCTGAAACCCCCTGAGTTTGGAGACTGAAAGCATTTGGTACTACTTAAGAGTTAAGACAGGTACCTGTTGTCTGTCACTAAGCTCTCCCTGTGCATCCTTAAACCTTGAGGATGAGGGTGAAGGACAATGGCAATCAAAATGGTGATGGTACCGTAGCTCTCCCTGTACATCCTTAAGCCTTGAGGATGAGGGTGAAGGACAATGGCAATCAAAATGGTGCTGGTACTGCGGTTCCTTCTTGAGGTGTTGTAAATGAGGAGGGAGGGGAGGCGGGAAGGCGAGAGGAACATCGTGTGTGCTCGCACGCACGCGCAAGAGAGAGAGAGAGAGAGAGAGAGAGAGAGAGAGAGAGAGAGAGAGAGAGAGAGACGTACGCCTGCTAGGTACTGACAGTCTATCAAGTTTCTCTCAACATGGGTTTACACCTTGAAGATGAAGAGAAAGGACAGGGGACAATGGTGACAGCAATGTGGCTCCTAGCAGTTTCTTGATGTTAAAGGTGGGTCCGAATGATGACCCGTGGAATGGAGGGAGGGTGAGAAATAGAGAGGGAGAAGGTGAGAGGGGAGGAAGGCACGTTGCCCATCATCTATCTGGTCTCTGTACGTGTGTTTAAGCCTTGAGGATGAGGGGAAAGGACGATAAAAATGGTTATTGCAGTGTGTGGCTTCCTGCAGTTTCTTGAAGGTGTTGTACAATAATGACTCCAGGTATGGGGGGAGGGTGGGAAAGGGAAAGGACAGGAGCAGGGAGGAGGGAGAAGGTGAAGAGCTGCAACAGAGAGGGAGAGAGTACCTCATCACCATGGACGTGAGGTGGATGAGAACCTCTCCAAGGCATTTTTGCTGACTGGCCTGCCACCATAATGGATTTTTATTATTTTTTAACAAAGATGAACATTGGTGGTTCTTCAGAATCTTAAACCACCAGTACCTACTGGGTTTTTAGGCCCCCTCTGACGTGAATGAATACAGACTCGCGTGGCAGGCCGATTCATCCACTGCATTAAAAATGCAGTAAAAGGGCCTTTACCCGATATAGGCCTCAGGCCTTGTAAAAATAAAGCAGCACGGGCCTTGAAAAAGTAAAGCATTGTGAAAAGGTATCTCGCCAGAGCTCAGAAACGTGAAAGCAGGTCAAAGGTCAAGTTCTCTATCAACAGGCATATCTAAAGCTAAGGCAAAGGGCATTGTCAAAAGACTTACCTGTTCACCAGGAGATGTGTATGTCATGTCTGTTCGGGTAAGGGTGTGTCT